AAAACCTCAAATCAGTGAAGTAAAGAGGGTTTTTTTTTTTTTTTTATCACGTTTGCTCCCCAATGTGGGAGATGTTGAGTTCGAACATCGGTTGAGGCGTAGTTTGTATGTTTGGGTATCCCCTCCCTTTGTAATAAAAAAAAGTTTTTATTTTATTTTATTTTTATAAACAGTCAATTCTGTTGATTACACTCATCATGGATTCATGGTAACTACCGACCATCAGATCTTAGACTTTTGAACCTTAACTTTGGTTTGCGTGCTATAAGGACAAATTTTGGTATCTTCAGCATTTTCTTCCAAACCTTAAACTAAACGTGCTTATTTTAGGCCGGAGAGTCGATGGAGGAAATGGACACTGTACTAGCCTCACCGCATGCCCGCATGGCCATTGCTTTCTAGTTTGTAAGTCGTACATTGGAAACTGGAAAGCATGTTCTTATCAATTAAAACAAAACACTTTTTTAATAAGTTTATATGATGAATTGATGATTGAAGAGAATCACGTTTTTTCCATGTGTGACGCGGCGAAGTCGATATCACACACACATATAGTTAAGCCCTCTCTACGAAAAGTCAATTTCCACTGAAATTCGAATTCACAATCCTCCATAGAGCAACTTGATGCCACTCAACCACAAGACCAAGTCATTGACAGTTCTTTGGTTATCTAGTTGTTATATTATTCTTAAAATCAATTGGTGATAAGTAGGTGGACATTAACCATTTAATAACATCCCTTCATAGGTAAGTCACAACGTCACATCTCGATTCGAGCAAGGGCTGAGCTCAACCGACGCCCAACAATTTACCTCCCAGCACCTGCTATGCCGCAACCTTTGATCACAAAATTCAGTTGTTGTAAGCCATAACACCACGTCTTGAATCGAGTAGAGACCGGACTCGGTTGACATGACCAACTTGGTTATCTTATCACTTGTTACAAATGATCAAAAAATATTTTTTAAAAATACCCTAAATCTCCATCCATTTTTAGAGTAATTGGAAAAATTCGTCAAATTTTTAGTTTTTCAACAATGTTCTAATAATTGTATGATACAAAATTTTGTATTTTGTAATAATGTTTTTGTTTTTTTTTTTTTTTTTTTGTTTTTATTATTATTATTTTTTGTTGCTGTTGTTGTTGATAACCATTGAGAATTCATGAAATGATTTATTTATTTATTTTTTGCGTAAAAAATGGGAGATAGATATCCTCATATGTCTATGAAACAACAAAAGCACGGGCAAATTAAAGCAAATTGTTCTTTATATATAGTTTATACTACCCATTTTGGTCGTCTATAGTATACGTATATGTATGTATTCCATTGGTTTTGTTTGACATTTGGTAGAACATATGCAAAAATAGAAAACCAAAGTATTATTTGACGAAAAACTTACGTGGTATATAACATGTATAATTAGATCAGAACTGCACAATAAATTAACCATAATAAATAATAACAATAATAATAGGATCATTGTTTTGAGTTGAATTAGGTAGAAAGCTTTAAAATGGAAGCGGTTTGAATTGACCATCATCACAGCTCATATATAAGACCGGACAACGCCCATGTGTTGAATATATAATAAGTTTGTATTGTAAAAGCTTTGAATTCTTTTGTATCCTTTTTGACAGCAAAATGTTAATGTTGAACACTTGAAGCAATAAGTAATAAATTTATTAATTAAAATAGTACTGATGATTTTGTAGGGATCGAGTCCACCATAAATTAGGTATAGAGATATAGGACAAATTATTGTGTGGATGATGGTCCAAAACGATGTCATTTTAATATTAAAAAATTATTTACTTCACACGCGTGTTAGAATAATAAATATTCTGAGGTAAGATAATATATGTTATGAGTTAAAATAGTGTGCTTTGTGTGTTAGAATAATGTACTTTATATGTGTTAGAATAATGAAATTTTTGAGGTAAGATAATGTATTTTATGAGTTAGAATAATGTATTTTATGAGTTTTTTTTTTTGAAAGGATATTTTGAGTTAGAATAATGTACTTTATGTGTTAGAATAATGCAATTTTTGGGATAAAATAATGTTATGTATTTTTGGACCATGATCCACACAACAGTGTGTACTTTATGGAGATATAGAATGAGTACGAAAAATAGTAATATTATTGCTCAGGCCCTAGGCCCACAAAGAATATACACCAAGAACCTGCAGCCTAAGCTTGGCAGCCCAAAGGATAAATAATAAACGCTGACTAGAATGACAAATTATTGTGTGGACCATGGTCCACACGGTGTTGTGTGGGTCAAAACAAGAAGTACATTATACAGTATAATATACACTCAATACACAAATAATGTACATCACCTGAATACAATGTATATTTTTAATATACTAAAAGTACATTATTTTTGTACTGAATGTACATTATTTTACATTATACAAAATATGGTTCACACATCTTGTGTGGACCATAATGATTGGACTAGAATTGTACAATTGTTATACCGTGCACTAGGGCGCACAATGCATTGTGCGCCCTACCACAAAACGACGTCGTTTTTATAAGTTGTGTGGGGAGTTGACGTGACAGACACCGTTCCGTCAGTTCAATCCCATTACAGTTTTTTTTAACACTTGTGTTTTATGTGTATTCTGTTAAGAGTAAGACTTTATGTGTATTATGTTAAAATTTTATGTGTATTATGTATTATGGTAGATTATGTGTCTTATGTTAGGAGTTTTGTATGTATTCTACTATACAATTCTGTACATAAAAAACAAAGATTTTTTTTAGAAGTTACGGCAGAAACGGGAGACAACATCGTTTTGGCCAAGGCGCCCTGGTGCACGATATAATTTGCCAGAATTGTAAGTGGTTAGGGTCAAGCACTGGTAAGTAAGTAGAAGGAAAAGACTGGAGACCATTGGGTCATTGGCTAGTTGCGTTCCAGACCATGATATCCTGACAAGCCAACCCTCTCCTTTCATACTACACTTCGGCTCCTAGATGCCGTCCACTTGTACACAATACAAGCCTCCTCCTTCCCCTCCAACCATGTGTACCATGTCTCAACCTATCCTAACACACCCGCAAAAATGCCACATGCACGCTACCCCGCATCCTCCTCCACGCCCAAGCCCGTCACAATAGAAGCGAAAGGCGCCAAGCCCATTGGCTGGGACGCCATGGGGCGCACGTGGCGCACCACTCGGCATCCCTGACAGTCGCCCACCGGTGGCGGCGCCCAACCCTCACCCTACTTATAAGGAAAAATGTAATACTTTTACATTTTGATGTAAAAGTATTACAATTATATATATATATATATATATATATATATATATATATATATATATATATATATATTACAATTTTCTTTATAAGTTAATATTGACAAGTGTTTGTTACTTATGAGAAAATATAATACTTTTGTGAAAAACTGCAATACTTTTAGATCAAAATGAAAAGGTATTACATTTCCTCAAAAGTATTATACTTCCCTATATAAGTAATAAAAATGTTATTCTTAATTAGTATTATATTTTATAATAATATAAGTATTAAATTTTTATCTTGACCCGTATCATGAAAGTCTCATACAAATTTTTGCCAATTTACAAATTAGATTCTTTAATTATTTGTTTAATCTTAACATTGAATACAATTAGTTCCAATTCCTACAATATTCATGAAACTAGTATTCTACCCCTGCGATGCACTGCAATGATTTTATTATAACAAATTATAAATAACAAAAACATGTTTAAAAGATCAATAATAGATTATAAGAATGGTGTACATTTATATATTACAAATTGTAAAAAAATTTGTTATATACGTATTCATATAATTTATGGGAAATGGCACTTTCCGTCCCTTTTTTTTTTTTTTTTTTTTTTTTGAATGCTACTAGCTCTATTACATTGTAGTATCTGTTCATATACTTTCTCAATCTACTGAAACACAAAGAGCTAATAACGCCTCCACTGAGACTCGAACTCACAACCTTCCAAATGGAAGTCCAACCCGGGTATATGAAAATAGCATGTTTCATCCTTCAATTATATCGTCGTCAATTTTCATTATTCTATTGAATATGGAGTGACATTTTAGATCTCTCAATTATCTGTAGAGTGGCTTTTTAAATCCAACCCTACTATAGCTTAGGCACAAAATAAAAACTACTTCGAAGACAATTGAGAGACAAAAAGTAATATATATATATATATATATATATATATATATATATATATATATATATATAAGTGAGTGACAAATAGTAATATTTCTAAATAATTTGGGAATAAAAAATATCACTTTTCCTATAATTCCACAATTAGAATTTGATGTTCGCATAGGCAGCTCAACCAGTCATAAATGTGAAGTTTGAAAAGTATGATCAGGGATCGAGTCTCTCCAGTGACAGTGAGTGGGCTTGTTGCGCAAAAAGCAAAGGTCTAACCTAGACAGTGAGTGGGCTCCTTATTGCGCAAAAAGCAAAGGTCTAGTCTAATGTTAAATAGACCCCTTGCGCAAAAAGCAAAGGTCTAGCCTAATGTTAAATAGTCGGGGTCTTAATGATCTTGTTTATTAAGGAAATAAACAAGATATAGTTTGCATCACATTAATCATACTATTTTTGAAATATTCATGATTTTTTATAAGATAGTATATGTAGACCATCTATTTAGTTTTAGAATGGTAATCCAGATGCTATCACATTACATGATAATTGACATAATCATACTCATTCAACTTTTTTTTTGGTTGAAAGGTACTCATTCAACTTTAAACAAATTAAGAGTAAAACATATACTCCGTATAATATAATAAATATAGTATAAGAACGTCAACAAGTCAAAACTCAAAGAGGCAGACAAAGGAAACCGAGTCGAGTCAAAACGTGAAAAATGAGAACGCGGCCAACACAGACCAAACTATATACGTATTACGTAGTAGTAGTAGTAGGTAGCAATCGCAGCTTGCAAACAAAGGCGTCCATTTCCCAAATTATATATATATACACATTGAAATCTCTTCTCACAACCACAATCACTCTCCACCGTACACCTTATCTCTCTATTTCCGCCATTGAAAGCCACAAGCTTTTTTTTTTTTTTGGGTCTGATCAATTATATTTATTTTTTATTTGTTTAAGCTTGATTTCCTGTTTAATAGCAGGCCAGGAAGTGCATAAGAATAATTCTTTTTGGGGGTGAGAATCTTTAAAATCTTGAAAATCAAGGGAGTGAAGTGGATTAAAACAGGGCCTACGAAATTCTGAAGAAGACGCTCTCTCCTCACCGTTGCTATCCTCTTTCGACTCTTTGAACACGCGTTTTTCCCCCTTTCTCATAATTTATCTAGAGCCCTTTTTCCTCTTCATCAATTTTTTTTCTTCCCTTTCTCGGGATAGTTTTGTGAATCTCTAGGGTTCCATCTTTTTTCTCTTCTTTTTTATAATTACCTGTAAACCCTCGATTCTTTAAGGTCGAGGGGGGGTTTATTCATTTCTGGGTGGGTTGTTCTTGAAGTTTGTTGTAAACACAATGGTTTTGGTATCGGCTTTGTTGGGTATTTTGCAAAAACCCACAATAGGGGATGTAATAATTGAGATGATGCTGTTTATGGCACCTATTTGGATTGCGATTGTTGTTGGGGTGCTGGTGGGTTGGTCATGGAGGCCCAGTTGGGCTAATACGAGTGGCGTTAAAGATTGCTTTGACTCTACCCTCTTGTCTTCTTCAAAGACATTTTCTTCCCGGATTAGCTTGCAAAACGTGTTGACTGGTTTAACTTCCATGAAATCGCAATTGCCCAGCTGCGTTTCTTGGAATTCTGAGGCGGAAACTTCAGCTCCGATTCCTCACCAGTGGTAGGTTCAAAATTTCTTCACTATTTTGTGTTTTTTAATCGTTTGGAGGACAATTTGTTGAGCCGGGCTTAGATTTTTGCATATAGGAATAGTCATTTTCTCAGCATATCTCAGAAACTACACTGTTAGTTATGGTTTGAGGCTATAGGGATTAGCAGTAATTGAGTTTGCTTGTTCTGATTGTATTTGTTTTTCCAGTTCATTGCAGCCAAAAAGTGAAAAATCGGTTCTTGTTGATGATAATGACCTTCATCAGTTATCCCAACTAGTAGAAGAGAACGATGGAGGCCCTGCTTGGATTCAAATGATGGATCGGTCAACACCTAACATGACTTATCAAGCTTGGCGCCGAGACCTTCAGGTATAATCACCCTTTCTATGAAAGGAAATTAGGAGTAAAATGTATAGAAGATTATATATGTTCTGGAATTCAATAACTAGCACCTTTTGTCTTCTGTTATCTAAATTGTATTGCCTTTTTAATGTAAAATTGTAGAGTGGACTTCCCCAGTATCGCAGTAGAAGTGTATATGAGGACGTCACGCCAGAAATGGTGAGGGATTTCTTTTGGGATGATGAATTTAGGCTAAAGTGGGATGACATGCTCTTACATGCTGAAACCTTGGAGGAATGTCCCACTACTGGAACCATGATGGTTCAGTGGGTTCGCAAGGTATGATAGTCGATAGACTATGGTCTTTTTTGCTCTAACTCTATTGATTGATGCGGATTTTCTTAGTCTTTTCTTTTCCCTTTTTTCGCAGTTTCCGTTCTTCTGTAGTGATAGAGAATACATCATTGGCCGTCGAATTTGGAAGTCAGGACAAGCATATTACTGTGTCACCAAGGTAAGCAAATTGATGTTGAGATTTGAACCAAGTATGGTTTTCTTTGCAGCTATGACTGCAATTTTCTTCCGATATTATGACAGTGTTTTAGCAACTTTTTAACAAAGTGTTACGGAGTATATTTTTCATAGCAAATTGGTGGATAAATAGTCTGACACAGTGAAGCCAAGGTGTCTGGCCTCTTGTTCCATTCGGTTTCGAAAAAGTAGAGAATATCTTCCCTTTTAGTCATGTTTAATGTTTTAATGGTGTGAAATGCGGGCAGAAATAGACATTATTTTGCTAATCAAATCTTAAACCGATGTGTTCCAGTTATTTGCACATCCATAGGTTGGCGGTCTGCTAGTAGTGTTAAGTTTATTGAAACAGACAAATAGTTAAGATTTGAACTTTTGGTGTGTCATGACTTGCTTGCACTTTCTGGCGGTCTGTGTGATGCATTTTTGTTACTTGTCTCGTGTATGGACCAAATATATTCATAATTCTAATGATATAATATATGATTGATGATATTTCAGGGCGTTCCTTGCTCATCCGTGCCACGGCGTAATAAACCAAGGCGTGTTGATGTATATTATTCAAGTTGGTGCATTCGTCCAGGTAGGCTATGACACGGTCATTAAGTATCTGTATATTTATAGCCTTGTCTATTTTACGGTCTAACACAAACTTTCTAAATATAACAGCTGTTGGTTTTTGTTATCTGAAATCCTAACTTTTATTTAAAATTCATACAGTTGAATCGAAGATAGATGGGCGACTGACAGCATGCGAGGTGCTACTCTTTCATCACGAAGACATGGGCATTCCTTGGGAAATCGCTAAACTTGGCGTTCGACAAGGCATGTGGGGAGCTGTGAAGAAGATAGACCCTGCTCTACGCGCATACCAGAAGCACAGAGCCTCGGAAGCTCCACTTTCGCGCGCTGCATCCATGGCCCAAATCAACACCCAATTCAGCGTCGACAAGCTGAGGTCATTGGAGGGAGAGAAGAGTTTAGCGGAGGTCGAGAACCTGGATACACCACAGAAGCCTGCAGCAGGGAGGAACGTGCCAAAATTGCTCCTTGTTGGTGGAGCGATCGCCCTGGCTTGTAGTCTTGACCGCGGGCTTTTGACTAAAGCCGTTATATTTGGCGTTGGGCGAAGGTTCGCGGGGATTGGGAAGCGGTGCTGAAGCCATGGTTGCATGGATTGAGTTTGTTGTATGTAAAGTTTAACAGGAGTGGAGGGGGTGTAATAATGGTAGGTAGGGGAATTCCAGTCCAACTTACTCTAGTAAGGCTCATATAATTTTAACTTACTCAAGTTAGACAAGGAGAATGTATCCCATAGGTTGTATTCACTAAAGAATTAATGAAAGAACCATGGTAGATTCCTAGTACTCATCATCACAAATTTTAGTTTAAACTTTTTTAAAGCTCATAATATTTTTTTTCCTTTTTTTTTGGAAATAACTATTAGGACTATGTTATCTACATTAGACTAGGACTATGTTATCCATATTAGACTAAGACTATATATTCGTGTTAGACTAGGATTCTATCAAGTATCTATATATTCACTCTCTGTACTCTCGGACATTATGATTGATTGAATACAAAATAATCTATATTCTCATCTGGTATCAGAGTGTCGCTAATTACAATTGTTGGTTGATGTGATTCCATAATTACAATGAGCACTTGTTCGGCGGCGACGGAACCGTGTCAAATTTGTAAAGGTTTCAGTCACACGGGAGCTAATTGTTTATGGCGCTATGATGAACCGTGTCAAATTTGTAAACGTTTCGGTCACACGGGAGTTAATTGTTTTTGGCGCTATGATGATCCGTGTCAAATTTGTAAACGTTTCGGTCACACGGGAGCCAATTGTTTACGGCGATATTTAGGGGCTCCGGGTTCTCAGCGTTTTTCACCCTCCCCGGCTCCTCAGGCGAATATAGCCGTTTCTGGTGATAACTCGGGTGGTCCATATGAGTGGTTTCCTGATACTGGTGCTACCAACCATGCTACGCCCGATCCTTCATTGTTGACCTCTGCGACGGGTTATGATGGTCCTGAGACTCTTCGTGTTGGCAGTGGTACATGTTTGCCTATTGTTAATGTTGGTTCAGCTTCGTTAGCCACTAATTCTAGGTCTTTTAAGTTAAATGATGTTTTTCATGTTCCTAATCTTTCTAGTGCATTATTATCTGTCCAACGTTTTGCCAAAGATAATAATGTTTTCTTTGAGTTTCACCCACTTTGTTTCTTTGTGAAAGACATTTTGACCAAGAAAGTCCTATTTAAAGGGCATGCATCTGATGGCCTGTACTCCTGGCCTGCGTCATCTCCTGCTCCAGCTGCATTCGTTGCTGCGCGTTCCTCTTTTGTCTGGCATATGCGATTGGAGCATCCGCACTCTCGAGTCTTACGCAAAATTTTAGAGTCTTCGTCTGTAAGTACTTTTAATTCGAAAGATCTTCCCAATGTTTGTTCCTCTTGTCAATTGAGAAAATCATCCCGTTTTCCATTATCTCGTGTTGAAACTACTAGTACACATCCTTTAGAATTAATATATTATGATATTTGGGGCCTTGCGCCGTTACTTTCTGCGAATGGCTTTAAATATTTTGTGTTGTTTATGGATGATTACACACGGTATATATGGTATTATCCGATGCGTGCAAAATCTGAATTATATGGCATATTTGATAAGTTTCGGTCACTTGTTGAACGTTGTTTTTCTCGCAAGGTTATTTCTTTTCAATCTGATTTAGGGGGAGAATATAAGAAGCTTGGTTCCACCCTTTCTTCTCTAGGTATTCGTCACAGGCAATCTTGTGCCTATACTCATGAACAGAATGGACGGGTGGAGCGCAGGCATCGTCATGTTGTTGAGACAGGACTGGCTCAAGCATCTGTTCCTTCTCGTTTATGGGACTATGCTTTTGAGACTGCTGTCTATCTTATAAATAAAATGTCCACTCGTGTTTTGTCTGACGAGTCACCACACTTTCGTTTGCATCGTTCTCACCCATCCTACTCTTACTTGCGGGTATTTGGTTGTTTGTGCTTTCCTGTTTTGCGTCCATATAATCAAAATAAGCTACAATTTCGTTCATCTTCGTGTGTCTTTCTGGGTTACCCCCCGTCTTATCGTGGCTATCGTTGTTTAGATACTAACACTAACAAGGTCTTTATCTGTCGCCATGTGCGGTTCGATGAGGCTGTGTTTCCTTTTATTTCTCCTATTGCCTCGCAGGTTCCTAAGCCACGGTCCGAACCGTGGGCCACCGCACCGGTTGTGACGAGCCGAGGGAATGATGTCTCGGCCACCTTTGTTGATGGCACTCGGCAGATTGATGAGCCCGTGTTGGCTTTTGGCCATGGTGACGGTGCTGGTCACGAGCAGTCCGCATCGAGTGAGCGGACTGTCTCGGACCAGCAGTTGAGCAGCGCGGCAGACCGCGCGGGCGTCCTCGGCGATCCACTCCGCCTCCTCGGTCGCATGGCATGAACACTCGTAGCTCGGGTCCGCATCAACATGTTGCCTTAACCACTACTTCCACCGTGGTGTCTGAGCCTACCTGTTACTCTCAGGCGGTGAAGTTTCCTGAGTGGCATGATGCAATGGACGCAGAGTTCAATGCCTGGGTTCATAATCATACATGGCGTTTTGTTCCTTCTCAACCAGGTATGAATGTTGTTGGTTGCAAGTGGGTTTTCAGAACCAAACTGAAGGCCGATGGTTCAATAGAACGTCATAAAGCACGATTGGTGGCCAAGGGTTTTAATCAGGTTGCTGGAGAGGACTTTTTTGAGATATTTAGTCCTGTGGTTAAACCCACTACGGTACGTCTTCACTTATCTTTAGCCGTATCGCGTGGGTGGTCTATTCGCCAATTGGATATTCACAATGCTTTTTTGAATGGCGAGCTAGCTGAGATTGTTTACATGCGCCAACCACGTGGTTATGAGGATCAGTCATTACCTGATCATGTGTGTTTGCTTAAAAAATCTCTCTATGGTCTCAAACGAGCTCTACGTGCATGGTTCACAAGGCTACATGATTTTCTAGTCTCTGTGGGCTTTGCGCCTTCAAAGATTGATGTGTCTCTTTTTATCTATTCTCGTGATAATGTTCGTCTTTATTTCTTGGTGTATGTTGATGACATTTTGATTATGGGTTCTGACTCAGACCGTGTTACTGCTCTTATTAATAAATTGGCACTTGAGTTTAAAGTTCGTGATATGGGTGTGCCTTCTTTCTTTTTGGGAATTGAAACTGTCCTGTTATCTGGTGGTATGCTTTTATCTCAACAACGGTACATGAAGGATATTCTCAAACGTGCTGGCATGGTGGACTGTAAGCCAGTGGTCACGCCAGTCTCTACCGCGAAAACCGCCAACGATGTTGCCACTCCCTATGCCGATCCAACACAATACAGAAGTCTTGCTGGTGCTCTCCAATATCTTACGGTAAGTCGTCTGATCTGTCTTATGCTGTTAATCTCTTGTGTCAACATATGTATGCCCCCACTACTACGGACTGGGCCTCTCTAAAAAGAGTCCTACGATATGTCAAAGGCACCCTGCATTTTGGTCTGCGTATTTCTCGGTCTGCGTCGATGGATATTCACGCCTATTCTGACTCAGATTGGGCTGGCGATCCGAATGATCACAAGTCTACTAGTGGTTTTGCTGTGTTCTTGGGGAGTAATCTTATATCTTGGGTTTGTCGGAAGCAACGAACAGTAGGACGTTCTTCAATTGAAGCAGAATACAAGGGTCTGGCTGATGTATCTGCTGAGGTTACATGGCTTGTTTCTCTGCCACACGAGATCGGCATCCCACCCGCGTCTCCTCCTCGACTATGGTGTGATAATTTGGGAGCTACTTATGTGCCAATCCAGTGTTTCATGCCCGCACGAAGCACATTGAGATTGATTATCATTTTATTCGCGATAAAGTAGCCAAAAAGGAGTTAGATGTGCCCTTTATTTAAACCAAGGATCAACTAGCAGATATCTTCACCAAGTCTCTTTCGTCTATTCGTTTTAATTCTCTCCGTGACAAGCTCAATGTTTTGGCTAGCCAACCTTGTGCTTGAGGGGGGGAGTATTAGGACTATGTTATCTATATTAGACTAGGACTATGTTATCCATATTAGACTAAGACTATATTATTCGTGTTAGACTAGGATTCTATCTAGTATCTATATATTCGCTCTCTGTACTCTCAGACATTATGATTGAATACAACACAATCTATATTCTCATCATAACTAATTCATTAAACATAAATAGGAACGTTTACAACAAAGTTCAATGGAATGGCAAGCCATTTCTTGCCGTCTGACATAAAAACTACTTTCTCTAGCTAAGCTACAGAAAACTCGATTCGCAGACTGTTTCACAAATTGGAAGTTGGGATTCTTGAAGGAATTTAATGCTTCTTTAGAGTCATTAATGATCTAGCCAAACATAGACAAGACTAGTTGAAAAGTCTTGCAGACCACCTGGGTATTCATCTCCATGTTGAAAAGTCTTGCAGACCACTTGGGTATTCATCTCCATTCTTATGTTCATTGACAATATTCTCATCTAAAAATACACACCCGTTCTTAAATTAGAAAATTTTGACCAACTTATCAGATGGTAGCCTACCAACCGAGCTGAACTGCATATTATAGTTCAAAAGAGGCACTTTCTTATTGTCATCATATCTTCTCCCAAAAGGTTGAATCCCCAACCCCAAGTGGCCCCACACTCTTACCCGACCGAGGATAATGTTCACCTACACTATGATCATTTAAAGCTCATAATTTAGTATCAAAATTTGAAATATTGTGTACACTTACAATTTTAAAAGTTCTAGTTACTTTACTATTCAAAATAATCTATTTAAGCTTGAAAATTTCACACAAATTCTAAGGTTTACTTTTCCACGACAACTTTTTTTTTTTTTTTTTTTTTTTTTTTTTTTTTTTTTTAATTTTTTTAATTTTATCTTAATTGATTAAAGTTTAATTGTATTTATTTTTAAGGTTAATATTTTATTTGTAATTATATTTTTAGAAGTAAGTTTGAGGGTGTATTCTTATCTCTAAACAGCTAATTAAACTTATGTCATGTAGGGTTGTTGAGGATAAACGTTACACTCCGTAGGCTCTAGGAAAGGAGATTATTTCTCTGACAAAATAAAAATATACATTCTCCACGTGCATCATATGTCAAAAATTTTACAAAATTCCATACTCATGTAAATGATGTAAGACTATTTTTATCTCTGAAATATTCTCTCAATTTAAAAGTGAATCCTACTTCTATATTATTAAATTTATAATTCTTTTATTATATTTTCTACATCTTTGCAATACACTCATTTTTCACTTTTTCCATTACATCAAAACAGAACATAATAAATAAATAAATAAATAATAAAATCTTTTTTAAAAAGGTATAAAAGGCTGCTACAACCGCAGCTGTGGCAGCCTTTTGTCGCAAATTATGCTGTGCAACCGTGTGCACCATGTATGGTGCACACGGTTGCAAAAACGATATTGTTTTGACTAAAAACGCGCGTCCCACTTAAAAAAAAAATCAGGCTCGATTCTTGGCAATAGCATTTTTTGTGTGCATAATTTGAATTATATATTCACAAATTCATAACTATATATCCACAAGTTCATAACTATATATCCACAAATTCATAACTATATATCCACAGTGAATGAATAACACAAAATCCAGAATGAATGAACTAAATATCCACAATGAATGAACTAAATATCCACAAATTCATAACTATATATCCACAATAATTTATAACTATATATCCACAATAATGCTGTTGAGGTGAATCGAAACTGAAGTTTTTTTTTTTTTTTTTTTTTTTTTTTTTTTTTTTGTTTGTTTTTTTAAATGGGACGCACGTTTTTAGTCAAAACGACGTCGTTTTGCAACCATGTGCACCATGCATGGTGCACACGGTTGCACAACATAACTATCCGCCTCTTGCAGCAGTTGTAAGTTTGCAACCCAAATTAGCATAAAAAATATAAATGTTTGGCAAAAGGGTCAAATAATCATCTAAACTTTATCCAAAAAGTCAATTAGGCCATCAAACTTTTAAAAGTTTCAATTAAACTCATTAACATGTTATATTGAGACAATGAAGTCTAAAAATCGATAAATGACCAGTTATTACAGGTCATTAGGGTTTTGGTGTCAATCCGACCATCTCCGGTGACAATCCGACATCTCTAGCGACGACCTAACCGTCACTGGTTGCCTTTCGCCGGAGAAGGCAACTAACTGGTCGCGTTCCATCGGAGAAGGCGAATAGTTTGTCGCCTTCTCCGATGGAAGGCGACCAACTGCTCGCTTTCTCATCTCGAAGAAGGCAACCAGTTGGTTACCTTCTCTCGTAGAAGGCGATCAGAGACGGTTCGGCCGTCGCCGGAGATGTCGGATTGGAATCGGAACCTTAATGACCTGTAATAGCAGGTCATTTACGAGTTTTTGGACTGCATTATCTCAATATAACATGTTAATGGATTTAATTGCAACTTTTGAAAGTTTAAGGTCATAATTGACTTTTCAAATAAAGTTTAGGGGCTTATTTGATCATTTTTCTAAATATTTTTAAAATTGCCATGTCAGCTTGCCAAGAGTAGAATTGTAGGGATAATTTTAGCCTAACATTCACATATCATGTTTTTATACATTTATATGGTATATTTTGAGAGTAATTTTTACTTTTAATTATCAATTATTGTGATATTGTTATATTTAGTCATGCTCGTTTAATTTTGTCTAGTTATATATATATATATATATATATATATATATATATATATATATATATATATATATATATTACTTTTATTGTTTGTCACAATTAATCATCAATTTAATTTTTGTAATCAATTGTTTAATAAAAATGTATATTATGTAATTTTATCGTTCAAGCATCCTACCCTAATGTATGATTTCTCTCACTCTCGCATAAATTATTTTAATTGAATTATGGAATTATATGCCAATTCCCTTTATTAATAGTGAAATTTAACAGAGGGTTAATTGTGGTATATAAATGAAAATCAAGTACGTAATGAGACAAAATTAGAAGATTATGACTAAATGTAGCAATGTCACAATATTCAATGACTAAAAATAGAATTTTCTCTATACTTTGATTCAAGATCCATTGGAATTTTAAAAAATGTCTTCTAGAAAATAATTTTTGAAAATATTTTCATCTTTTGGTGTTTAATTGAAAGTTAGAAATTTATCTTTTTTTTTTTTTTTTTTTTTTTTTTTTTTTTTTTTTTTTTTTTTTTTTTTTTTTTGTGTTGGTCCCGAAAGGGTTAGATTACAAGTCTAGAGGGAGGGGAGAGAATAATCTTGTATAGATTTTTTAAAATTCTCTACAATTAGAATATTCTTGACTTGTTTTTTGAAAGGAGAATATTCTAAACTTAAGTTAGAATAACTTATCAAAAAGAGTTTTGGCAGCAAAAAACGTGAACCCTTTTTAAATATTATTAAGCACAATTTAGATTGTTTGGTTGGTTTATGTTAGAATGTAACCGCTGAGAGAGAGAGAGGGATGGAGGGAGGGAGGGAGAGAGAGAAAACACTTTTCTTCAAAAACACCTTGGATGATGCACTAAAACTCCTTAGTACAAGAGAATACTCGAGCCTTGAACACAAAGCCGACCTCAAGCTTCTTAGTTTTTTCACAAGTCTCAACTTGTTACTTTGCTTTTTTCTACTTCAACCGAGTAGAGTGATGAATGTCTTAAACTCATGCTTTTTCCTTACACATTTTGATATTTTTGCTTGTTACTCATTATATTATGGAGTCGCTTTGGTCACTTATGAAATTATTGTTTGCGCTTAGGTGACTTGACAAGAAAATGATGTTTTGAGTCAAACATTGAGCTATTTGATAAATATTTCAAGTCATCATAGCATGATGATATTTTTGTGAGGCAAAATGAAGAAAAGAAGATTGAACAACACCCTTTCATGTCCCAAATACTTGTGCCTTAGTGGTATTGATGATATAGACAATTCAATGCAAAGGCAAAGCAAAAGAAAGTAAGGTGGCATTTTTCACCCAAATTGGTGCCATATCAGTATTTTGACTATATCTCAACGTAGGAAAGTCCAGATCAAGTGATTCTTGCACCATTGAAAAGCTAACTTAAAGGGTTACAACTTTGATGAAGATCACAAAGGTTAGTTCAAAGGTTATGGGGTGAAAAATAGCCTAGAAGACAAACAAGCTATGCATGAGCTTTGTTTTGCTGGGCACAGGTTCGGCCGAGGGTGTGCCCGTGCCTATGCCCAACTCCTGCAACTTCTAAAATTTATTTTTGCCTTGTTTTAAACCGGATTTCTTCCCCCCAAAACACACCCTTCATTTCCCTTTCATTCTCAAGTTAGGTTTAGCTCTAGAATAGCTTAGAATACAGTAGATTACTTGTTTCTCCCCACTTCCAAGCTCAAGAACATTGCAAATATTGGATTTCAAAGCTTTAATAGAGAAGTTCTTCTTACTCATCTCTTTCTTTGCTTTCTATTTATGCTTTTAATAACTCCTTTAATATTGTGTAGCTAAGTGTTTTGGGACTAGGATTTGGTTTGATTTCTTGCTATTGATGCCTATATGAGCTGTATTGCATAAATGTGATTATTTGGGTGTTCTAGGGTTTGTTGTGTGAATTGGGTTTATTGTGAAATTGTGTATAATTGTTGGATCCCAATTATATGTTTTATTTGGAGTGTGTTTGTTGCTACGAGAGTAGAGCTTGTACACTAGCCACACATTCACACACTTGATGTCCATACGAGAATATTTCGGGTGTTAAGGAGAATTTATGCCTTGTGTAATTGTTTGGGCAACCTTGGGTTGAATTGCCATAAGAGTAGAGTTCAAGGTGAGGTTGCAAATCCAAATAGCTATGAGAGTGGTATTTGGACACTTATGTGCATCTCACTTACCCTATGCTTTGTTTTAATTCCCTAATCCTTAGTACAATATTTGGCATCTTAGCTTGAATCAACCAAGTCCCGGTCATTTGTTTTAGGCAAATTATTGTGTGGACCATGAATATCAGGTACATTTTTAATATATTAAAAGTACATTATTTTTGTACTAAAGGTATATTATATAAAATAATGTACCCTTAGTATATTAAAAATGTACTTTCAAAAAATGTACCTTACGTACATAAATAATGTACCATTAGTATATTAAAAATGTACTTTTTATTTATGGTGTGGACCATGGTCCATGCAATAATGATTGTTTGTTTTACTTGTCTTATTTGTTATTTGCTTAATCATATCAATCCAACTCATTAACGATATGCATAGCTTCTATAAGGATAGTTTTAGCTTGTGCTTAATTTCACTTTACATCAATTCCTAACATTACAAGAGCCATCTCCAGTGAAACGATATCTTAACTCTATATTGTGATTTGATACTTGATGGATGTGTAAAAAACGTCATTATCATAGAGTTATAAAGATTGTCAACAAAATGAATGTTGATCCTCTAACTACCTATAGACTTGGCGTTTGAATATTGACTACTC